ATTTTCTATTTTTTTCTCGACGCAGCCAGGAATACCTGGGAGGGAGGGAGGGAGGGGAAGGGTTGACGAGTGTTTGGCTTAATCGAGATGAAGCGAAGGTATCGGTCGATCGGCTCGGTAAATAAATCATTGCTCATTGCACGCAACGTCGAAACGGATTGGTTTGGCTGCTTTCCAGCAATAGTTGACATCGACGACGTTGATCTTCGGTGTGGATTCAGATTAGGGGTTGATATCTGGATGTTACTTCACGAATACGTATATGTGTACGTGTGTATATGTGTGTGATTTTGTTTCGAGTTTGCAGTTGATTTAATGCAGCGAATGTAATATTGTTAAGTTTAACGAGTAAATTGAACGATGAAGTTTGTATGAACTTGTTGAAACGTGTGATTAGAGGATTGTGAAAGTGTTTGAACAAATATTATGTTTGATTTAATATTTATAAAATTATAAATTATGTAATAACGTGTTAGTGAATATTGTTTTATTTTTTTTTTTTGAAAATAAATATCCACGTGTTTCATGAATAATCAATTCTCTTGAATAATTTATTATTCGTGATTTGTGTATTTAATTATATTTGCAAATTATTTGATTCGTTTAACTTAATTTATAATGTGTAGACAAAATTTATAGGAATGAAAATTGTTTAGATATTTTCAAACGCGTCAAATGAATCAAAAATTTAAAATATATCGTGAAATCACTTTTCTGATATAAATATTGTACAGATATTATATTATCTTGATGGGATATATCTATATATTCGATTACGTGTATGTCTTTGCATTCAATTAACTTTATATTCAATTAATTACGTCATTTCCATCATCATCATTCATCGACTGTCGATAAAATAATCACCGAAATAATATCGTTAGTATGGAAGAACCGAAATGAAACGAACTGTAGAATTACATTGCATTTTAAGTTAATATTTGTCTCGACGAAAACGTAATCCATTTAATACAACAATTGATATGATTGTACCCATCGCAATAACAATATTCCATTTTAATTAATGCAACTTTGATTACATAACAACAGTTATTCCCAATATATACAATTTTTTTAATCATTTAATTATTTCCCCTATTTTCCTGTTGAAAAATAATTTTTTTTGCAACATAATTATCGTTCGAACACGTTTTTACGTATCGATGTAGAAATTCTTTCTCTCTGATAAATTTCTAATTTCCATATTCTACTTTAATCCACGAAGATATCTCTCTCCTATATAAATACACAGACTATCGAGTGTGTAAGTAATTGGCAGGAATGATGTAGTACTAGGTGTCGTAGATTATATCCGGCCCATAATCAAAATTTATTGAAAGTAATCCCATTATTCAATGGACATCGTAAATCAAGCATCTCTTCTGCTTGCTTGTTCCGACAAGCTGAAATCAGGATCGCGATATTCGGCCGGCTATATGAATAGTTTGTCAACCGTCCAGAACTTTTTTAATACGAACGTTAATATCTCGCCAGCTCTATTCGCGAAACAGCAATTATTTTGTTGCAATTTTTTATTTTAAATCGCGTCCACTACTTTTTTCGCGACAATATTTTCTCGTATTATAAATTATCTAAATATTTCCACCGACGATCTATCATTAAATTATAATAAATTATATCGATAAGTAATAAAGGAAATGATATGAAAATCACGTTTGATATAAGATAAGCTTAAAATTATTTTTTAATACGAACGTTAATGTCTCGCCAACAGGTCTATTCGCGAAACTGCAATTATTTTGTTGCAATTTTTTATTTTAAATCGCGTCTACTACTTTTTTCGCGACAATATTTTCTCGTATTATAAATTATCTAAATATTTCCACCGACGATCTATCATTAAATTATAATGAATTATCGACAAGTAACGAAGAAAATGAAAATCACGTTTGATGTAAGATACGCTTAAAATTATTATAAAAAGAAAAACATTATCATACTTTCTTCGATATTTCCACCAACGATCTATCGTTAAATTATAATGAATTATATCGATAAGTAATAAAGAAAATGATATGAAAATCACGTTTGATATAAGATAAGCTTAAAATTATTTTTAATACGAACGTTAATGTCTCGCCAAAAGGGTCTATTCGCGAAACAGCAATTATTTTGTTGCAATTTTTTATTTTAAATCGCGTCTACTATTTTTTTCGCGACAATATTTTCTCGTATTATAAATTAACCGATATTTTCAACGATCTATAGTTAAATTATAATGAATTATCGACAAGTAACGAAGAAAATGAAAATCACGTTTGATATTAAAAAATTATTATAAAAAGAAAAACATTATCATACTTCCTTCATTTTCGATATTTCCACCAACGATCTATTAGTTAAATTATCAGTTAAATTATAATGAATTCTACAAATCGATAAATAATAAAGAAAATTAAAATTACGTTTGATATAAGATACGCTTAAAATTATTAAAAAATTATTAAAAAGAAAAACAACATTATCTTACTTTCTTCATTTTCGATAGTTAAATTATAACGAATTATACAATCGACAAGTAACGAAGGAAATGAAAATCACGTTTGATATAAGATACGCTTAAAATTATTATAAAAAGAAAAAAAAAAATATTATCACACTTTCTTCATTATCGATATTTTAATTAAGAAATTCAACCGGTCAAAAGCAGGTGAAATAACGTTAATGGGATGTAAATTAAGCGTGTTACGAATATCAGTAGCAGTACACAGTATATGCAAATTTGTCTTCTACTATACTCGCGCTTATTAGTTCAAATTATAGTTGTGTGGGAATGTTGTCGTAGCGACAGGATTCACAAATAACTGATAACTCTGATTATATAGAAAATCAAGCAACAGACGTGAATTAATCATCGATACTATTTTGAAAGACTTATAAATATGCAAGAGAGATATTTAAATTTTAATAGAATTCTATCACGTCCTGTCATCCATATATTTTCTATAGATTCCATTACTATATATTAGCAACGAGTTATATAATTTTTTTACTAATAATTCCTAAACATAATATTCCATCCACAAGAAAATAAAATCTCAGAAATATCATTATTATTTAATCAATTATAGAAGGATTCTATTATTTGAAAATTTCCAAATCAACGATTGATCCAGATTGAAATTTCCAGTTAGATAAAGGGCATATATCTATCTACTAACAGATAAAAGCTATTCTAAATTCACTGCTATCATCCGACGATCGAAAAACGAATAAATCTCCATTTCTCCCATAAAATCCCCGCTCGATACACCGTATCGAATAACAGTGAACAGAGTTCCATTTAAAGTGGTAACGAGCATTTTCGCTGGCTAGCATGGTTGGCTAGCACGGGGTTTATTGACAATTTTAACAGAAATTTCGTGTGTATCGTGAGTAATGAGGAGAGCGAGTCGGAGACAAGATTAGAACGATATCTCGCCAACTTAATCTCGTGAGCCACAATTTCCCCTTTAAGCTTGTCACTGCTCATCGGATAAAGTTCACGCAATTAACGGGCAGACGCGATTAAGAGGTCCTTGAACGTGAGGATAGGCGACTTATCTCGAAGAAAAGATTTCGAAAAGAAATTGTTTTCTCGTTCATCGATAAGGTCATCGATGACTTGTGAACTTTCGATTGAAAATGTAGAGACGATTATAAAGTTTAAAATTATAAAGGTTATTTGCTCGTAGACACGAAAGTAGAATAACATATCTGGGATAGAAATTTAGTTACAATTTAGTTACAAATGTCTTCTTCTTGGATATAATTTTTAATTATATCGAGATAGAGTACTTTATGTTATA